GTCAAGAAAGACTTCCCGCATATCAGCCAGGTTGAGCCACAGGTGCTGTTCCTGGACCACTAAAGTGGACATCGCCCTCCTCAGAGCCTGTGCCGTGACCTTCATAGCCCCAAGAGCAGTGTCAGTCGCTAAGCGCAGTTCTTTCAACGCCTTGGCCTGGTAGACCTGCAGGATGGCCATGGCGTGCAGGGCGGACTCAGCTTGTCCAGAAGCCGAATAAGCCTTCGCCACCCGAGATGAAGATAACTTACAGATCCTGGATGGGAGTCTAGGGCGACCCCGCCAGGTGGCGGCGTTTTGCGGGCAAAGATGCACCGCAATCACTCTCTCCACCTGGGGAACCTCCGTATACCCCCTCGCTGGACCCCCATCGAGGGTGGTGAGGGCAGAAGAGCCTTTGTATTGTGTTCTGGACGAAAAAGGGGCCTTCCACGATTTCGCCAGCTCCTTGTGCACTTCTGGGAAGAAAGGCACCGGGGCCGAGTGCGGCTCACTCAGCACCCAGAATCCAATCGTCCAGCCGCAAGCGCTCGGGGCAGGGTGGGGGAGACCACTCCAGCCCGATGCTCTTGGCTGCCCGGGCAAGCACGGCTGCCATCTAAGCATCAGCCTCGGACTGAGGCTCAGCGCCTCTCAGACGAGCTCTCAAATTCATCCGGAAACTCGACCGTTAAAACACAAAGCAAGCGAAGAACGGGACGCTCACAGGGATTGCTCCGGCGAAACTGATACCGCATCCCCATGCTCTTCCGTGGTGCACATCGCTGCGGCCTTGTACCCAGAGGTAAAAGGACCAGAGCGGCAATCAGCCGCAGTGACTCTGGGTCTTTTGACGAAGAACCCGAGCTGCGAGCGCAACGTGCCAATGGGAAGTGCCTTGCAAGCGGGGCACGAACCATCCACAAGCGCTGCCTCAGCGTGAGCACGGCCCAAACACTGAATACAACACTTGTGCCGGTCGTCTTTCGAGACGTGCCAACCAAAACCAGAAACACATGGACAGAAAGGTATGATGTAACACACAATTCCACCTGTGTAGCTACTCTTTTAGCGGAAATTTGCTCTTTAAAGATCACTGTTGAAGCACCCAGGGGTATTCTCACAACGCTTATCTGTGTATGAGTAGGGGAGAGACCACTGACCTTGCCTTAGATCCAACGACGAGGAATCGAGAGGTGAATAATCGCAACTTCTCAGTGAGAGACTCTGCATTCGGCTCCGAAAAACAGAACGAGTGAGCAGATGCTATGCTGGTTTATTTATACCCCGGATGTCCGGGGCGTGGCCAGCCATGCAAGTTCTGCACACCCAATTTCATTGGCCTTTTCTCAAAGATGTCAGAGGAGTTTGGGCTCCCAAGAGTGACCCCTAGTGTTGTACACTCGACACAACTTCGAAGTGAACGACAGAAAGGGAACTCATCTTTGCCACCACAGGAATAAATTACATTTTAAAATATATTATAACAGCTATTCTAAATTGTAATAAATATTACAGTTTTACTGTATTTTGACCAAATAAATGCCTTGGTGAGCATAAGAGACTTCGTTTAAAGACATTAAAAATCTTACTAACCCAAACATCTGAATAGTAGCATACATATAAATAATAAAATAAGAGAGAGTGTGTAAAATTTAAGTTTATTTTCTAAAAGTCTACAAGGTCATAAGTGTCCATGGTTGAAGAAACACTCTTATAAGATCTGTAAACATACTTGCAGAACTTTCCTGGTGGACACGGCAAACACTCTCTCTCCTCCTGCAAACCCCCGACCTCAAGTGGGGTGTATGTGCCATTGGGACAGGGCTGAGGAACCATTGTTGCTGCAATTACAAGCAGAATCAGATAATGTGCGTGTACTAATGACACCACAGACACAATATAGAGAGTTACAGCAGCATGGGTTACCTGCAGGGCAGTAGGAGTGTGGAGGGCAAGGCCGGGGGTCTCCGATAATTGCCTCCTCACAGTAATAGCCTGGACGGCAGGGGATGCAGTTATCCGAGCCCGAATTCGGCTGGTACTGTCCCGTGGGGCAGGGCAAGGCCAGGGCTGAGCCCAAGGGACAGTAATGACCCTGAGAGAGCAAAACCTGTCAGTCAGGTTGCTAGGCACAGATTAAAAAGCGATAGAAGGGTGTGAAGGAGGCAGAATTGACCTTGGGGCAGAGGAAAGCGTGCGGGGTGGTGGAGGAGAAGTATACTGGGCAGTAAAAGCCTGCAGCACAGGGTCCATTTGGAGCATCCAGGCCCTCGCTAGCACAGTAATGCCCTGCTGGGCAGGGAAGACAGCTTTCTATGGAGTAACCCCCTGTGGGCAGATCAATATTATTAACAAAAAAGACTGCTTGTTAGTAAATAAAGAACGTAAATGATAAAGTATTAATGTGCAAAAGGTTCCAGAGAATATGGAAAGGGCAATATTTAGAAGCGTGTGAATTATTTAAAAGTATAGTGCTAGAGTGAATTTATAAGAACAACTAAAGCTGAATCTGTGCAATATTACTTATGCACCAGTGCATTTAAGCCACACAGCGTACTGGATTTGATAGCTTATTTATTTTGATGCGCTATCCCTGGTAAATTATTCATATGCAACTACATGCTGCTCTTGTTGTTTTTGGTTGCGTATAATAACTGCCCTTTTGAACTGCTTTATTGTTTTTCCTTAGAGGCTCTAAATGTTTTATATTAAAATAAATGTGTGGGTCTGTACACACCTGTGAGGTTACGAATGCTGCCTGCTGGGCAAGGCAGAGGCATTAGGGTTCCAGAAGGGCAAAAGTGACCTTGCGGACAGGGGCCATTCCTGAGGTAGCCAGTTATATTCAGAGGAGCAGGATTTGGAGACCCTCCTTGGCAGAAATAACCCTGCTGGCACTGGCCTACAAATAAAACAACAATTAGTCAATATGATACAGTCACAGACTAAAACCTGTGCTCTTATAAAAAAGTGTGGGATGATATCAGACCCTGTGGTTGTGATGTTCCAGGTGAACTGCAGTAGAGGCCAGTAGGGCAGGGCACACAGGCAGCCTCCGACTGAGCCCTGGTAACCTGTCCCAGTGTGCCCACAGGACAGGGTACAGCTGCAGCAGTGCCAACAGGGCAAAAATGACCTGAAGCAACACAGGAAAGATGGCAGATTGTTAGCAAACATGATAGTATATACACTACTGTTCAAAGGTTTGGATTCAGTCTTTTTTTTTTTTTACAAATTAATTCAGATGAATTTTTTTCTTATTCATTTTTTAAAATTGTATTATTTTTATTCAGAAAGGGCACATACTGTAAAATTGATCAAAAATGACAGGAAAGAAATTTATAATTTCATCTTTTATACTTTTTATAAATGATCCTGACAATAATGTATCATGAAAATGCCTCACGGTTTCCATTAAAAATAATTAAGCAGCACAACTGTTAAGAAGCAATGTTTCTTTAGCAGCAAATCAGCATATTAGAATGATTTCTGAAGGATCATATAACACTGAAGACTTGAGTAATAGCTGCTGAAAATTCAGCTTTGCATCACAGGAATAAATTACATTTTAAAATATATTAAAATAGAAAACAGTTATTTTAATTTCTAATAATTTTCACAATTTTACTGCTTTTACTGATCAAATGAATGCAGCATAAGAGACTTTTTTCAAAACCATAAAAGAAAACTTTTAAATTGCATTGTATGATGGGGGAAAAAGGATTTGCAGCAGAATAGAAAAACGTAATTACTAATGAGCCATCATAATAATTTCAGCACAGGGCTGGACTTACCCATGGGACATGGGGATGGCTCCTGTGTGCCAGGGGAAGGACACATAGTGCCAGCTGGGCATGAGAGACAGTGGGCAGCACCAGGAGCACTGCTGTATGTGCCAGGCTCACAAGGCACTTCCAATGGAGTACCAATGGGGCAACTGTGTCTGCTCGGACAAATATAACCCTGCAGTCCATCTATCGGTCGAGCACTACGACTGCCATTGATACACACATATCTGTGAGGGAGAAATAAAGCTGTCATAAACTATATTTCAAAAGAAAATCATTGTTTTATGAGCATACACCAGGTTTTAGATGCCTGATGAAAATCTCCTCAACGAGCCAATCACTTCACTGCCACTCCACTGTATCTGTTTTCCAACCCAGCCACAAATAGATATAATTACCCAGCATCACAGAGAGCTGCTTCTGATGGATACACCATAGCAGTTTGCTCACAGAAGTACCCAGGAGGACACGGCTGACACTGCTCGGCCCCACTCAACCCTGGGGAGCTGGAGAATGTTCCAGCGGGGCATGGGAGAGGAGAGCCGATACCAGTTGGGCAATAATGGCCAGGCGGGCACATGCTGTTGCCTGTAGATTCAATCTGCAAATCACACACTGTAAATGAGTTTAACCCTTTGTGAACACATGGTGTCTTTTTTAAGAAACAGAACTGATGATATATATCACGTTTCCAGTGCCGTTGGGACTTGTGGCACCCGAAGGGCAGTGAAATCCATCCTGGCAGCGCCCTGTAGGCTCTGAAAGACCATGGCGAGCACAAAACATGCCTAGACAGACAGATTACATAAATTAGACGTAGATGTAAATACAAACTGTTCAAAAGTTTAGGGATAAATTATATCGATATGATACATTAATGAAATAATGATCTGAATATATAAGGTAATAATGATAATTAAGGTTTTCACTAAAAAAGGTATTATAATGTGTAGCTTTTTGGGGGTCTTTGGGTTGGCTAAGTGCCTTTTTGGGGGTCTCTGGGTCTGTAAAGGTTGAAAACCCTTTAATACATACCATTCAAAGGTTTGGGTTCCATAACATTTTTAAATGTTTTTGAAAGAATGCTCTTATGCTCACTGCCTTTATTTGATAAAACATACAGTAAAGACAGTGAAAATAAGAAATATTTCCAGGAATTAAAATAGCCGTTTTCTATTATATTATATTTTTAAATGTAATTTATTCCTGTGATGCAAAGCTGAATTTTTAGCAGTCATTACTCCGGTCTTTAAAGTCACATGATTCTTCAGATCCAAACAGGTTCTGATGCATGGTTTCAGCGTCCGGCCGTCACAAATGGGAGGGCCAAAAATGCTGTGTGTGTGACCCAGAGAAGAAGGAAATTGCTCTTTTATTGACCAGGTGGTGGCTATCTGCCAGGTGGCAGACAGCCATGATGGAGCCGAATCCACCTCCCATCCCCCCATCAGAATTGGATTCAGGCTGGCCAGATGGTCCCTCCTCCCTAGGTCGCCTGTCTCAGGAACGCTTTAAAGCCTTGCGAGGGTTCCTGGTGCCCTGATGACGAGCTGGCGGTGCCACCTTCCTGCGAGTGGTGGGCCGTTAGACAGGCTTGACTGAAGGCCCAGGCTGTTGCGGGGCCTCAGCAGTCCTCGCAGGGGGCCGTCCCTGGCGACGAGCAGACGGGGGCTGCTGACTCGGGGGGGCAGGAGCAGGACCTGACCCACGCCGAGGCAGGATGTGTTTGATGGCCTTCGTCTGCAAATTCTTCCCCGGTGTCGCCAAAGAGACCAACCTGTGAAATGGGGGCGTCAAGAAAGACTTCCCGCATATCAGCCAGGTTGAGCCACAGGTGGTGTTCCTGGACCACTAAAGTGGACATCGCCCTCCTCAGAGCCTGTGCCGTGACCTTCATAGCCCCAAGAGCAGTGTCAGTCGCTGAGCGCAGTTCTTTCAACGCCTTGGCCTGGTAGACCTGCAGGATGGCCATGGCGTGCAGGGCGGACTCAGCTTGTCCAGAAGCCGAATAAGCCTTCGCCACCCGAGATGAAGAGAACTTACAGATCCTGGATGGGAGTCTAGGGCGACCCCGCCAGGTGGCGGCGTTTTGCGGGCAAAGATGCACCGCAATCACTCTCTCCACCTGGGGAACCTCCGTATACCCCCTCGCTGGACCCCCATCGAGGGTGGTGAGGGCAGAGGAGCCGTTGTATTGTGTTCTGGACGAAAAAGGGGCCTTCCACGATTTCGCCAGCTCCTTGTGCACTTCTGGGAAGAAAGGCACCGGGGCCGAGTGCGGCTCACTCAGCACCCAGAATCCAATCGTCCAGCCGCAAGCGCTCGGGGCAGGGTGGGGGAGACCACTCCAGCCCGATGCTCTTGGCTGCCCGGGCAAGCACGGCTGCCATCTAAGCATCAGCCTCGGACTGAGGCTCAGCGCCTCTCAGACGAGCTCTCAAATTCGAAACTCGACCGTTAAAACACAAAGCAAACGAAGAACGGGACGCTCACAGGGATTGCTCCAGCGAAATTGATACCGCATCCCCATGCTCTTCCGTGGTGCACATCGCTGCGGCCTTGTACCCAGAGGTAAAAGGACCAGAGCGGCAATCAGCCGCAGTGACTCTGGGTCTTTTGACGAAGAACCCGAGC